GGACGCATTCACGCGCGCGCCATCCGTCGCCCAAGAACCGAACCCTGCCACACGAGCGCGAGGCCTATCCGTGGGGAAACCCGACCGCGGCCGAAACGCTGCCAGCTCAGTCGGGCACGCCGCCATCTTCACGTCAGGGCCTGAGGCCCCTGACTCGGTTTCACTCGGTTCGCCGCGGTACACATCCCGGCGGACCGGACATCTGGACGTGTCGGACATCTCGGGATCTCGCTCGTGCTGGACCGGAGCCAACCCCCCCCCCCCCCGCCCTCTCCTCCTTGACGGGCATCCCAAGGGAAGAGCCTCATGTCAAGTAGTAACCAGCACCGGACAGGGTCCCTCTCCCGTTTTTCCAGAGCATAGATGCGTCGAACTGGGATTCCTGTGCTATTTATTAAACCCGCTACCCTTGGAACCTTTTTGAAACGGTGAGTGGCCCTGTGTCGATCAAGGGTCAACCATCCCGGTCAGAGGGCCTTCGGCGTCAGAAAAATTATGACAATACCGTACCAGCGTCTAGCAGTCCAAAGAAGCCCTATCTGGTAAACTTGTGGACCCCCTCTGGCCGCTCAGTCGAGACATGCGGTTAAGTCATGCATCATATTTGGCGCCAGATAGTGGCCCAGCATCGGCCAAGACAAAGGGCCATTGTAGGCTAAGTCGATCGGATTTGTGATGGAAAATTGGCTTTAGTGCGTGTCCCCGTTCACTAACGATAGTCTCATGGCAGGGCAATGCGAATACACCTTCAAAAATACTTTTGTCTCAAGAACACTGCCACGCCAAATGCTCACATGCATCATATATGTTTTCGTGATTGACGGTAACAAGTTGTTTATATGACTATTTCGGTGGAAATGACAGCATATCGTGCAATTTTCTGTTTCTTGTGAAGATTGTCTAGCCTGCGGCATAGTCTAGCTTGCGGAATATCTGGCCGAATTATGACCAGAGTGACATAACGGGAGAGTTTTGGCACCCGCAGATCGGAGCGCGAATGTGTGGATTCATGTAATGTTGCGCTCAGGAAATATGTGGTTAATAGTAATATCCCTTCTAAATGTGCGTTGTACGTTTATTCAAGTACCTATGCTCGCTGTATGTCTCAACTATCGCCCTGATTCGCCGTTTTGCATTACTCGGACTGATGGGAGAGAAGGGGTTGATGCCACCATCCCCCAGTGCTTCCAAGCTTATAAAGATAGAGCTCGCTGAGAACAGCAGCATATTGTTATGAACACTATCTCAAGATCGACGCTAGATTTTATACTGTCGAATTTTTGTCGGCAAAATTGTGCCCAAAAGCATAAGAAAATGGCAATGAAGTCCATGCCAATAGCACAGTAGCGCCACTGGGAATCGGCGTATCACCGAAAGCCTCTTCTATCACTGCAATTTTCGGTGCCATGCACACAACCAAGACGCTCGCTTGTACGGTGTCATCCAACTAATATTAGGATAGCTGGTACTGCTAAGAATGCGAGCACACCGAACCTAGACTATGGATAGTATAATCACCAATGCAGTTTTCTTCCACCATCGGCACTGCCCGGACCTCACGTTTAAACTTGATCTACGGATAAGTTTGTTTTCCTCAACTACTAAAGAAACGACAAAGGATCTTGACGGCCAGGGTTGGCTGTATACATGGCAAAATTCGGAGCCAAAAGGGCACTGAGTAGACCAAAAAGCTCTGGGAGATTCCCAAGAGTCCTGGCGTCCAGGGGGCCCTTGAGCGGTCGGAGGGGCCCACGAACATCCAGAATGGTTATAGGTGAAAGAGTGGGCCTCTCGATGCCCTCAGACTTAAATGCTCACAGGGTCGTGAAGATAGACGTATACACTGAAGACCAAATGGGCTGCCGAGCGGCCAATAGATCATCAACAGACAAACGAACACTGATGGCCAGAATGGCCCACGATAGTGCCATTGCACAAAAAGTCAGGTAATTACGAGTCATTTTACATGCGCCATTTTTGTCGTTTGTGTTTTCAGCACTTTAACAGAGGTACTATAGATACGTAACAAGACGTCGCAGTGTTTTACTCAAGTGTGTGATGTGTCACGTGCACCGTGAGTGCCACAAAAACAGATCTAGAAAACTAAACCGTACCTTCATGCTCACAGCACGCGGCGCCAGAGTTAGGTACATTTTGTCCGCCACCTGACGTCTGTCATGGCCGTTGGTGTTTTGATTTTCGTGCTGTCGCCAAACGCCCAGTCCCCCCTGCACTGCAGAAACAGCAGCCAAGGCCGAGGCCTGAACCGAGAGGTGCCGGATCGACACGCGCTGGCAGCTCACTACCATGCGCTGCTGGCTATGCCAGATGAGGAGCGCACAGTGATGGAGCGGGTAGAGATCCACCATAATATGAATATCCGCTTGGTCGAAGATTTTAAACGGCCGTTGGGGAGAGGGGTGAGGGGGGGGGGAGTAAACGAGGGTGCTGTTACGTGGATGGGAAGAGTGCTTTAAACTTTATAGTGACTGCGGTAAAAGCAGCAATGCGCCAGCCAGTCAGCCGGTCCCAGACTGTTTCTAAGAAATAAAAGCAGAATTGTCCGTTGTCTACAAACACATCAGAGCGCGTTAAGAATGAAAAGCAAAAAAAAAAAAAACTCCAGAGCAGTGCGTGAGCAGTGCGAAATCATCTACGATATTTAGGAACGTGTGCTCAGTCATAAAGGTGATGCAGTTTAGCATGACCTTCAAAACGTGGATGGCCCATACTACCACAGGGCACTAAACACAATGCTGCCTTGGTTTCCGGTAGTAGTCACTGGAAGCCATGCCAACAAAGTCAACGCTAAGATGGCAACGACGCGCCGGCTGACACAGCTTCAGTCACTTAAAAAAACAGGATCAATAAGTAGATGCGCTTTTATCTGAGCTCTCCCAACGAACCAGGGATTTAATGGCCAGTGCGAGAGCGGGGGACGAGGAAATGCGTAGGG